GGTACTTGGTGGTGCCTATGATGGTTGTGTTTGGTCCATTGTCTTTGTTGTTTTTGTTGGTTGGGACGTAAATGGCACTTATTTTTGTTGTGGCCCCTTTGACGGAAAATGCTACATTTCTTTGTATTCCCACCAACACGCATTTGGTTTTCATCCTTAGATAGCTCCCATGCCTCTAACCTCATTTTTTTCTTTGGCCTCCCAGGCAAATTCCTCTTAATTGGTGGTAGTACATCAGGGAAGGTTGTTCTTTCCCATAGTAGGTTGTCATTCACTGGAAAAAATTATGGACGCATACGCCTCTTCATGTGTCGATATTCTAAAGCAAGTAGGTATAAAATCTTCTAGGTCCAAACTTGAGTAGTTAATTGCTGCAATTGCATGACAACATGGGATGACACTGATCATCCACTTTCTACAGCTACAATGTTTAGTGTCGAGGTCCACTATGAACTTGTTCTCAATGGATGAAGTGTGGCTAACCTCAAAAATCTTTCTCGCAGACCAGCTAAAATAAATAAAGCACGTCAATAATGAAGATAAATGACAAATGTATATGAACATAAATGATAATATTACCTTGGGACCCAAAATCTTGATAAATTTGATTTGTTCGGAAGTCTTTTGTTTTATCTTTGGGTCACCATTATCACCGTCAACTTTAACCTTCACTATTGACCTCGAGTTACACCTCAATAGCTTATGTCCATAATCATAATCCTTTTAAACTGCTCTTTGAAATCTCCTTCAAGTTGTCTTGATGCAATTAACTTTGCCTTTCGTGCCTTGGAAATTGACATATTCGTATTCCATTTCCTTAATGCTTTACTACGCATGTCTTTCACCCTTAAATTAGGATTGTCAACTAAAGACTTATCTATTTCCTGATTCAACCACTTAGCATTCATCAATTTAATGTTAAGTTGCCTACTACAAGTATGGGTATCAATTATCTTCCTCAATTGCCAAATTTTGCGTGATGGCAAATACCCAATGTAAGCTACTCATGGGCACTTACATTGGCCCCCCATGCATCTGACCCTCACCCTACGATTATCATTTTTCACAAATTTTAGAGCCCTCCCACCATGAACAACATATCTTCTAATGGCATCCTTAAACTCATCCTTATCGCTAAATATGGTGCCCACTTCCCACCTGTAATCTTCCATTGACTTATGTTTTGCATACTTTGAAAAGGGACCACCACATACTCTATCCTCGATGTCATCCTCCCCACTTCCATGGTTTTGTGGAGTTAAGAGCACATCAGACTCTCATTCATCATCTGACAAACCCCTTCCGTGTTCTTGTGCTTCATTATCACTGTCAACATCCACGTATTCATCACCACTTAGATCATCCATTCCTGGTTCATCCTCATTGTCCACTTCCACTTCTTCTTGACTCTCAACCTCAACTCCACCAACACTATCAACCTCAACTCCACCAACACTATCAACCTCAACTCCAACGTCACTGTCTACTTCTCCTTCTTCTTGACTCTCAACCTCAACTCCAGCCTTATTGTCAACCTCCATTCCAGCCTCATTCTCAACCTCCACTGCACCCTCATTGTCAACCTACACTACACACTCATAGTCAACCTCCACTGCAACTTCATTGTCAACATCCACTGCACCCACACTTTGAACCTCAACTCCATCCTCTCTCAGAACATCCACTCCACCTGACAAGTCTAATGCTCCATCCTCAACCTCCTTAACTTGTTCAACTTCTAGGTCCCCAATTCCTTCATGACCACCCTCAACATGTGCTTTCCTCCAATGCCACTACCTTTACCACTGTCTGTAGGTCCTTCACATAAGTAAAGAATCTCATTTACATCATTTTCTACAACCACTGGATTGTCCACCCCATGTACAACATACAAGTTTACTTTTCCCCAAATAATTAGCCACCTTCATCGTGTTCATAGCTCCTTTATCATCATACAACTTATATAAAACATGTTGAACATTGTATATAACTCTGCTACTTCAATGTAACCCAAATGTTTAAGTGAACCTACTATTCCAAAATAACATCATTTTATCGGGGTCAACGTCCTAATAAGCTATCTCCCCACTGTTGAGAGGGTCGCACCTCACACAAAAGTTGTTTACAAAATTAATGCAGTATAGACTAGGAAGTGACTCCTAGGTCGTCTCTCAAGGACCAATTTGTGGTTCAGTCTCAGGTCAACACTAAGTGGGGGGTTTTGAAAATGTTTTTGTGATTGTAAATAAACTAAATTAAAACTGGAAATTAAACACGACCGAACATAATTGAAAGCATTGAAATAAACTTAACAAAACATAAAGACCGAACGGTCCTACAAATGACCGAACGGTTCTACATTGAGACCGAACGGTCTCTAAAGCAAGCGAGGAAATTGGAAATACAGGAAGATAAAGAAGCAGAACAAGATAGACAACATAGTGAACGAAAACAATAAACTGAACGGTCCTAAAACAAGACGTGTGAACTAATTAAAATTCAGCAGATAATAAGAGACACTTGGTTAAAAATGAAATGCACATATAAACCAAATTAAATGCACTAAATAATTAAGACAACTCATAACCGAATTGAAATGCAATAAAAGAAATCTAAAACTCATCTACCTAAATTAAAATGGAACCACGGTAACTAATAACAAACGAAAGATGCAGCTTAGAAATAAAAATATTCAATGCAAAAGACTAAGAAGCAAGATGAGCATTTAATGACACAAATGATTCAGGCCGTGACAGCACATCTAATGAAGCATGTCTCCAAAAATAAAAATGCTTTCAATATATCTATATATTAATAAGAAACAAGTTTGGTTCATGCGTAAAGAAAAGAAATGAAACTCCGTGAGTGCATCTCCAGCTGGCCATGAATCACCGTGTGCTGCTTCCAAATGCTGGGTGTAACAGTAGCAAACTCAAATTCAAATGGAATACGTCCCTTCTCTCATCACAGCCTCCAACGTACACCGTGTGCCTCTATGTGCCACAGTTTTTCCGCCTCCGTGATTCAGTGTTCTCTTTAAGCTAAAAATAAAAATTCCCTCTTAGGTGGCGGTTGGACCATCCTTTATCCAGCCCTAGGTCGAGACACATCTCCCACACTGCTGGACTTTTAAAAGCTGCTGGACCACTTCCCTCCTACGTGTGCATTCTTTTCTTTTTTTCAAGTCATGACACCGTGCACACCAGATCTGCTTCACGTTCAGCTTCTTGGACGCGTGTGCTGCTGGGCCAATTGCATTGTGCACCTACAAGCTTCTTCATGACACCACACTCCAAACGAATCCAGCCCATTGCTTTTTGAAGACGTGGCATGAGCCTTACTGGACCCCGTGGTCTTCTTTTCAAACTGAAGATATACAAGCTGCAACGTGCCTTTGTGCTTCTACCATTCTGCAACACACCATTTCAAAATTGAAAATCCAAAAGCTTCTCTTTTCCATGTGGATGTGAGCTTTCAACGTGGCAGCTACTCCCTCATGTGTGCCAACTCCTCTTTCATTCAAACAATTGCTTCTTTCACTCCATTCGTGGGCTTCTTGCTTTGCTGGACCGTGAAGGCCTTTACTGGATGTTGGACCGTGGACGTGTGGATCTTCATTGCTCTCGGTGGCTGTTGCACGTGTTGTTCTCTTCATTCTCGTGCTTCCAAGTGTTGCTGGATGCATGAAGTGTCTTCGTGCACCTCCAAACTGCTGCTTGCTTCCCGTGTGCTCGCTGGACCAAGGAGGCTGCTGAACCGAGGTTAACTCTGTTGTGCTGAATGGGAGAACAAATCACCCTTCATTCAAGCTGCTGGACCGTCTATCTCTGTGTGCACCCCTCCAAAGATGCTGGCAGCAGGACCGTGAACGTGGACTTCCTCAAAGCGTGTTGGACTGCGGAGGTTTTCTTCCTACTGGACACACCCCTTTTTCTCACCGTCACACCACTTTAATGCTAGCTGGAAAATGAATGAAGATGGTTGCCCTGCTACCCCTTGGAAGTGCTTTGGGCCGTGTAGTGCATTCCCAAAAAAAAAATAAATCCACACCTCCTCTCTCATCTTAGTTTAAAGTATATTTGATGTGGCATTTTCTTTTGACCTCCAAATGTCCCAAATAATATCCAACAATTTCCCTACAATTAATAATGCAAATTAATAAGCTCAGATAATTCAAATTAGTTAAAATAAGAATTTCCGATCAAATTAAGCACAATTAGGAAAAACAGGAAAATACCGGACGTTTAAGCATAATTCCCCGACTAATTCTAGCACATTAAACTAAGTGAAGTGAGGAAAATATTGGTTCATCACCCACCTATATACTTAAAGAGCACTTCTTTTATCAAGGTCCCACCGTGGTGGACCACTACCTGAAGCCTGTCATCAAATATCCCAACCTGAACCCTGCAAATGCAAACGGAAGCCGCTAAATTAAGTTAAACTACGACCTATGTATCAACCTCAAAACGCGACAACTTTTCACATATAACACTTTAACCCATACTTACCCCCCAAAGCGACAACAATCATAAACAAACAATAACACAAATTCACAAAATTATAAGAACATAAACACTAACCTCAGTTATGCTTTTCAATTCGCTCTTGAAATTTCACCTTCAACGAGATAAACACTAACCCCAATTTGAACACAACTTTTACCAGAAGGCTTAATCCCAAATCACGATTTTCATTCTAATCGTATCTCTCTTTTTTTAACCTCTCTCATAATACATTGTCACATACTCAAATTTTTTTCTTCTATATTTAATTTTACACGTCAATAAACCCTAACCGTATCACGCAATCATATAAAATTGACAAGTCATTAATTTTTGTGCCCGAGATAACTTGCACAATTTAATTTTAACGCTGCTAGAAAAAAAATTAACTTATTTCATATCATTTTTACAAACTAGACAATTTTGAATACTCCCTTTTTTGGACCAAGTATTAAGCCTCAAAACTGTATATGTTTAGAATAAGTATGTAAGTTTTCCTATCCAAAACCATAAACCCTGAAACGGAACAAGAACATAGCTTGGCCGTTGAGGAGCACAAGGCATGTGTACCCTCGAACCCGACGTCGTTGCTGTCCGCGGCTACGAGCTACGCCTCATTCGTTGCACCCTCAGCCCTTCACAGCCGTTGGATCTCCGCCACGATGGTGAATCCTTGGATGGCCTCATCAACGACCTCTTGAACTCCGTTGAGCGCGGCAGCTACGTCGAAGCACTCACCTCCGAACCCTCATCCAGCGTCTTCCGATTCCGCGACCACGACTCCCTCCCACTCGACGCCGCTGACCGGTTCTACTCCGAGTTGGTCCACCGCGCTGAGTCCTTCATCACGGACGCCGCCTCCAACGCCGCCGAACAGCGTCGCAGGGCAATGATCGTTATGTGCCTTGCGGTTGCTGCTTTTCTAGGGTTCACTCAAGCAAACTTCACCGGGTAAAATTTAAATCGCCACTTTCTCTGTACTTTTTTTTTGAATTAGAGAGTGAAACTGTTTCCACTCTAGGCCTTTGAAAGGAACGGAGCTACCGAAATGTCCTCTGTGTTTGGATGGTAGTGATGAATGGGAACATTGGGCGCGGAATCAGCTTATGTCTGCTGGTTCTGACTTGCTTGGGAAGTTCTCGAATCTTCAGGTACTTGTGTCATTCATTTCACGCCTAACAACATGACTCAGCTCAAGTTGATAACAAGTAACGTGTTTTTTTTTTTTAATTTTTTAATTTTTCTAGTATATAGTTTTTGCCAAGATGTTGCTTATGCGGATGAAGGATTTACGCGTTGAGATTGGAAGCCTGTCGTGGTGGATTGCGAGGGTTTTGCTGCTTCAACAGAAAGTTTTGGATGAGCGGTCTTCGTCCTTGTCTGATCTCTTGCATGTCTACATGAGTGAAGCTTTGCAACAATTCGGGACTTCGGAGCTAGTTCGGAGTTACTGGGAGGATAGTTTACGCAGTAGCGAGAGCTTGGATATTGTCTCTATGCTTCAATTAGAGGCCGGCATTATGGAATATAGATATGGACGAGTTGACTCTTGCAGGTTAGTTGCTATGAACAGTGAACCGTGAATTCTGGGATGGTATGCTTCAAAATGTTTCCTACCAAAAGGTGATGTATAGGTTCTTAATATTTATGAAAAATGTTAATGATGATTGTGTAATTTTTAATGTGTTGGAAGGACTATGTTCTTACTGGGAAAATAGCAATATCCGAATAACATATTTTCAGTACTCTGATATTAATTTTGGTGGTTCCTTTACTTTTCCGGTTTATCATTGTGTTACATAATCTAAAAGGTGGATTTGAAACTAAGTCAAACTTGTTCATGGGGAAAGGGAGAGTTGGTAGGGGCACAAGTTGTATTTACCTTTTCATGTGTTCGGTGTGCTTGCATTGCATAAACTGGCACATCTTTGTGTTTTTACATTTATTTATCCTCAATAAAACGAAATCTATTGATATAAAGTTGGGGTGACATGTTCATCTAGGCTTCTATGTTTGGTGGGTTGAGGAACTGGATGAGGCGATCTTGATTTGCCAAAGTTCCATGTTGTTTTTACTTGATTTTATGTTTTTTGATGGTTTTTATAGGAAACAATGAAAAGTTCATTTCATAATTTCCTACACAATATATTTAAACACAGTAAATTAAATGAAATAAGGTGATCATTTTGTAATTAAGATCAGAATAGGTAATAAAAGAAAGTAGAAACACTTTCTGAAGTCAAACAGCTCCTAATATGTTCTAAGGTATTTCTGGAGAATACTGTCTATTTGTTATAATATTGCTTTTGATTCTTCTGTGGTATCTTCCTATATAAAGTATATTGTCCTTTCAGGATGCATTTTGAGTTAGCTGAGATGGCTGCTGGGCTTCAGCTTTCAGTTACTGGAGTACTCGGTTTTCGTTCTGTACATCAGGTAAACATAGTAAATGCATGATATATAGCATTTGTCATGATACTTAGCTTTTAATATGTAATTTTTGGACATAGGCAGAGCCTAAGGCGCAGATGGTACTTGTTACGAACACAAGTACATCGAATGTGGAAGACTTAACAGGTACTGGTATCCAAACATGTGATTCCAACAATGGTGAAGGTAACTGGAATTTGCATCAGTTTGAAACCTCTGAGGCATCTGACATACTTAGAATTCCAAAGTTGTTAGAAAATGATGACTCCAAAACTAAGTCACAAGGCGTGGAAAATGGTGCCCATTTTACTCCAAGTTTGACAGCATCACAACAAGCTGTAATTCTGGCATATTGTCTTCTAATAGAGAAGAGCTCCCGACATGATGAATTGCAACGTAGGTTACCTAAATTTTATGCATTCATTCATGATATTATTCCTATCTTTTGCATACTTGGATCCATGAATCCCCTTTTTAATCTTCCAATTTTGAAACTACTTCTGCCATGGGATTACGTTGACTTCTAGCCTATCATGTCATTCGGCTAAGTTCAGAGAAGTGAAAAAAAGTGTGGAAACTGGATCACTTCAATATAAATTTTGGTTATCCTTGTTTTAACTATTTTTCTTCTAGCGTACTGTTGTAACTGTGCAATTGTTTTTCAATTTATTTTTCTAAATTCCTTCCTATTTAGGGGATTTTGTTTTATGGTATCAATTTTTATTCCGAGGAATCATATTTGTTTATTTAATAATTTTAAAAAGAATTTAAATTTACTTAATTTTGAAATTGAAAAAAAAAAGAACAAAAGAAAGAAGTTAGTGGAAATAGGTAGTTATTATAGACAATAACATCCATTGTCATGGAATCCAGTCCCTTCTCATTGGAAATGAAAAAAATTAAAATGTCAAGGGGTCATTTTCCTTGGAAAAACGATATTAGGTATATATTTTAATAATCATCAAACAAACATAGGAATATTTATTCCCATCTTCATATCCTGGAAATGAAAAAAGATGATCTTAAACAAACGCTCCTTAATTTAAAGGCTGAACCACTTAGGATTCTGTTTCTCTTTCCCCTCTCCTTTTACTTAGAGCTAAGCTAATTTCATTTGGTATTGTATTTTAAAATCCACTTATTCTCCTAAAAGGAGGAAAACACAAATTGTTTACAATCTAGCTATAATAGTTCATTCAATACTTGGCTTGTCACTTGATTGCAGGATGGGATATGGCACCTTACATTGAGGCAATTGATTCCCAACATTCGTTTTACTTCATTGTAAGTAGACAAGAACCTATGACGTATATTTGTTTAAAATATAGGCTTTTGTGTATAACATAGACAATTTTGCTAATGCATAAGGTGTTTATTTTTCTCATAGTTTGTTTGAATAGGGAGTTTTAAGAGGGAAATTCATTTTAAAAAGAATTTAAAATGCTTTATGACAAATTATGTTGTTTAGGTTTGAAATTTCGAAGGAAATTGAAATTCTAGAATTTCATGAGTAACTGGACTAAAATTAAAGAATTTCAAATTTCCCCTAAGAAATAAGAATTTGAAATTTATCATACTCTCAAATTCATGTTTCTCCTCTTTTTATCATATTCTCTCATGAGCTCGATTTTGGTATCATAATCTCAACACTGTACTTCAATAAATGTTGGCAACAATTTCTTTCGTTTGCAAACCATGGCATGCATTTGATGTTTTTCACTTTCCTTGTTTAGATACGGTGTTTTTGTGATACTTTACGTATTCGGTGGGAGTCATCTCGTAGCCGAACTAAGGAGCGTGCCTTACTAATGATGGATAACTTGGTATGTGCACTATTTTGGTTAACATGTTAAGTTGGGAATTATAAAAGTATATTGTTTGACACTTTATTTTCTTATATGCCTATTGCAATTGAAAGGTTGTCATTTTTTTGTGACAAAAAATGGTCATTAAACTTTCCACTCACACATGGAGAGGGAATAAGCTACGAAGTTCATGTAATTATTTTCTATACATTATGATTTATGTCGACCTAAACCGGAATTTGGGTTGGGATTAGTGTGTTTTAGATACCTTGACGAGTTTAAGGACTTTCGGGAGTATGCACGATTACATGAATAAATCGTGCTCAACATACACTAGACATTAAATAATTAGTTTCAATCAATAGGGTCTGGTTCAACCTTAAAGTCTGACTTATCCTCAGAAAGGTAGCTTCGATAAAAATATAAGAGTGATGTGCCCAAGAACACTCAAGAAATATAGTTTTGATTGTATGAGAAGTTAACTTGTCTTTACTTAGAGAAAGGTTGGTCACACACAAAACAAGTGGAATCAAAGGCATACGAATCTTATAGACATTCATTAGATACAAGGGGCTTGGTTACATAAAAGAGATCGTGACAATATGTTAGGTTTCTAAATGGAGGAAACCAAGAAAAACAATTGCAACCACCTATACTCACTAAAAAGATCTTGTATTATTGATTCTAGGAAATAAGTACAATAGGAATGCATCCAAGGGACAATGTTCCCTTCACATAGATGCCAATGATCCTGTCAACAATTCTCTAAACTTTCAAAAAACATCCCTGCATACAAAGACCTCCCAACTATATATAGAAAGTCTCACTCAACCTAACAACCCAACTAACAACTAGTACTCTATATGTTTCCTCCTAACATACACATTAAATATGCTATCATTACGCGTCGTTCCAGAAACAACCTTGTCCTCAAGGTTGAAGCTAGAAACTGGTCCTTAATTGTTGCAACACTTCTCATGTGGCTGCCTCAAGGCTTTGTTAGGAATCCGAGAATAATTTCCTAACCGTCTACCTCACTCAATGATACACACTCTCACACAACAGAAAGAATCAAATAATGGGTATATTATTCACTGTAACAAATAAAGAGAACACGTGTAAGACGAGGGCCTAACCCCTCTCACCAGGTCCTGAAACCGGTCTATACAAATTATATCATTTTCTGTCCCCCCATAGTATAATGCGTTATTTCTTTTATACCCATACTTCCCGCCTTTTCCTAACTGCCTACTCTCTTTTCTTTCTTCTCTCATAAACTATCCAACTCCTAACATTACCCCCATCCTGAAAATCAACCTTGTCCCCAAGGTTGAATTCTGGAAACTACTTGTTGCTCCATCCACCCCTTCTTCATTCCCTTCTATCAGCACTTGCTCTCTTAACTCCTCTTCGAGTTGCTGTTGTCTTCTATTCAAAACACGTATTGGCCAGCAACGAAAACTTTCCATCTTGGTAATATTTAGTATGTGGGCAACTGGAAGAAAAATTAAAACATTGAAAAGCCTAGGATATCCCAGAAACTAAGCTATACTAGCTTCACCACTCTTTCCATCACTATCCGGTAATTTCATGCGAATAAGAGTTATATAAACTGCATATAATCCCAAGAATGCTAGGGAGACCAAGAAGGTAAAAAGACTGGATGCGCTTCTTAAGATTGTGTTTGATGTGATTGTAGTATACTTCAATGACAAGTTAAAGGTGAGTTGAGCCAAAAACCAAAATGGGCAGATTAAAAAACTAACTTTGGCCACTCTACACCGACTCCNAAACTAGACAATTTTGAATACTCCCTTTTTTGGACCAAGTATTAAGCCTCAAAACTGTATATGTTTAGAATAAGTATGTAAGTTTTCCTATCCAAAACCATAAACCCTGAAACGGAACAAGAACATAGCTTGGCCGTTGAGGAGCACAAGGCATGTGTACCCTCGAACCCGACGTCGTTGCTGTCCGCGGCTACGAGCTACGCCTCATTCGTTGCACCCTCAGCCCTTCACAGCCGTTGGATCTCCGCCACGATGGTGAATCCTTGGATGGCCTCATCAACGACCTCTTGAACTCCGTTGAGCGCGGCAGCTACGTCGAAGCACTCACCTCCGAACCCTCATCCAGCGTCTTCCGATTCCGCGACCACGACTCCCTCCCACTCGACGCCGCTGACCGGTTCTACTCCGAGTTGGTCCACCGCGCTGAGTCCTTCATCACGGACGCCGCCTCCAACGCCGCCGAACAGCGTCGCAGGGCAATGATCGTTATGTGCCTTGCGGTTGCTGCTTTTCTAGGGTTCACTCAAGCAAACTTCACCGGGTAAAATTTAAATCGCCACTTTCTCTGTACTTTTTTTTTGAATTAGAGAGTGAAACTGTTTCCACTCTAGGCCTTTGAAAGGAACGGAGCTACCGAAATGTCCTCTGTGTTTGGATGGTAGTGATGAATGGGAACATTGGGCGCGGAATCAGCTTATGTCTGCTGGTTCTGACTTGCTTGGGAAGTTCTCGAATCTTCAGGTACTTGTGTCATTCATTTCACGCCTAACAACATGACTCAGCTCAAGTTGATAACAAGTAACGTGTTTTTTTTTTTTAATTTTTTTAATTTTTCTAGTATATAGTTTTTGCCAAGATGTTGCTTATGCGGATGAAGGATTTACGCGTTGAGATTGGAAGCCTGTCGTGGTGGATTGCGAGGGTTTTGCTGCTTCAACAGAAAGTTTTGGATGAGCGGTCTTCGTCCTTGTCTGATCTCTTGCATGTCTACATGAGTGAAGCTTTGCAACAATTCGGGACTTCGGAGCTAGTTCGGAGTTACTGGGAGGATAGTTTACGCAGTAGCGAGAGCTTGGATATTGTCTCTATGCTTCAATTAGAGGCCGGCATTATGGAATATAGATATGGACGAGTTGACTCTTGCAGGTTAGTTGCTATGAACAGTGAACCGTGAATTCTGGGATGGTATGCTTCAAAATGTTTCCTACCAAAAGGTGATGTATAGGTTCTTAATATTTATGAAAAATGTTAATGATGATTGTGTAATTTTTAATGTGTTGGAAGGACTATGTTCTTACTGGGAAAATAGCAATATCCGAATAACATATTTTCAGTACTCTGATATTAATTTTGGTGGTTCCTTTACTTTTCCGGTTTATCATTGTGTTACATAATCTAAAAGGTGGATTTGAAACTAAGTCAAACTTGTTCATGGGGAAAGGGAGAGTTGGTAGGGGCACAAGTTGTATTTACCTTTTCATGTGTTCGGTGTGCTTGCATTGCATAAACTGGCACATCTTTGTGTTTTTACATTTATTTATCCTCAATAAAACGAAATCTATTGATATAAAGTTGGGGTGACATGTTCATCTAGGCTTCTATGTTTGGTGGGTTGAGGAACTGGATGAGGCGATCTTGATTTGCCAAAGTTCCATGTTGTTTTTACTTGATTTTATGTTTTTTGATGGTTTTTATAGGAAACAATGAAAAGTTCATTTCATAATTTCCTACACAATATATTTAAACACAGTAAATTAAATGAAATAAGGTGATCATTTTGTAATTAAGATCAGAATAGGTAATAAAAGAAAGTAGAAACACTTTCTGAAGTCAAACAGCTCCTAATATGTTCTAAGGTATTTCTGGAGAATACTGTCTATTTGTTATAATATTGCTTTTGATTCTTCTGTGGTATCTTCCTATATAAAGTATATTGTCCTTTCAGGATGCATTTTGAGTTAGCTGAGATGGCTGCTGGGCTTCAGCTTTCAGTTACTGGAGTACTCGGTTTTCGTTCTGTACATCAGGTAAACATAGTAAATGCATGATATATAGCATTTGTCATGATACTTAGCTTTTAATATGTAATTTTTGGACATAGGCAGAGCCTAAGGCGCAGATGGTACTTGTTACGAACACAAGTACATCGAATGTGGAAGACTTAACAGGTACTGGTATCCAAACATGTGATTCCAACAATGGTGAAGGTAACTGGAATTTGCATCAGTTTGAAACCTCTGAGGCATCTGACATACTTAGAATTCCAAAGTTGTTAGAAAATGATGACTCCAAAACTAAGTCACAAGGCGTGGAAAATGGTGCCCATTTTACTCCAAGTTTGACAGCATCACAACAAGCTGTAATTCTGGCATATTGTCTTCTAATAGAGAAGAGCTCCCGACATGATGAATTGCAACGTAGGTTACCTAAATTTTATGCATTCATTCATGATATTATTCCTATCTTTTGCATACTTGGATCCATGAATCCCCTTTTTAATCTTCCAATTTTGAAACTACTTCTGCCATGGGATTACGTTGACTTCTAGCCTATCATGTCATTCGGCTAAGTTCAGAGAAGTGAAAAAAAGTGTGGAAACTGGATCACTTCAATATAAATTTTGGTTATCCTTGTTTTAACTATTTTTCTTCTAGCGTACTGTTGTAACTGTGCAATTGTTTTTCAATTTATTTTTCTAAATTCCTTCCTATTTAGGGGATTTTGTTTTATGGTATCAATTTTTATTCCGAGGAATCATATTTGTTTATTTAATAATTTTAAAAAGAATTTAAATTTACTTAATTTTGAAATTGAAAAAAAAAAGAACAAAAGAAAGAAGTTAGTGGAAATAGGTAGTTATTATAGACAATAACATCCATTGTCATGGAATCCAGTCCCTTCTCATTGGAAATGAAAAAAATTAAAATGTCAAGGGGTCATTTTCCTTGGAAAAACGATATTAGGTATATATTTTAATAATCATCAAACAAACATAGGAATATTTATTCCCATCTTCATATCCTGGAAATGAAAAAAGATGATCTTAAACAAACGCTCCTTAATTTAAAGGCTGAACCACTTAGGATTCTGTTTCTCTTTCCCCTCTCCTTTTACTTAGAGCTAAGCTAATTTCATTTGGTATTGTATTTTAAAATCCACTTATTCTCCTAAAAGGAGGAAAACACAAATTGTTTACAATCTAGCTATAATAGTTCATTCAATACTTGGCTTGTCACTTGATTGCAGGATGGGATATGGCACCTTACATTGAGGCAA